GCTGCTTCTTTTTCACTCCTTCGTTTTCATCTCTTGGATTCTTCTACATAAGAGAGAAGATCACCGATGGAGAAATGGGACCAGCATAAACGGCATAATAGAGAAAACCCATCTTTTTTCTCATTGCGACTCACAGATTCATTGAAGCGGGGGAGGACAAGACCAACCTGTGTTTTAAAGAGAAAAGAACATGAGGAAATGATGTTGGAAAAACTAAGAAACTCAAACAAAAACTTCAAACCAGTATTATTCATCGATTCAACTTCAAAGTTTTAACTTTGAAGCTCCTAACAATTGCAGGACCCATTATGCGCAAAACCCAGGAACCAAATCACGAGAAAAACGATTCCAATAAAGCAAATTCAAAGCTTTGAAGATCATATGTGGCGACTTGAAGAAATCGAAGTAATCCATTTTGCTAGATGTGAGACTCACTAGCTTGACCTTTGCGCAGCTGCGTCCTTGCGGTTGAGTTGTGTGCGAAGCAAAATGGGTGAGTTATCTGAGAGGCGACCAGTGCCCCGGCGTGCCTTCTATTGGGTCAAGGAAAGGGTGAGGGGACGAGAGAGGTGGAGAATAAATTATGGAAACTTTCAACAAAACCCCTACCTAATTAATATCAGCTAACCCTTAAAAAATTTTAAAATTTCATTACATCTCATTAATCAAAATTTTTTGTGTAAAAATATAAAAATACCTTTATTCTATTTGAGTTATAAATCGTCAGTTTTGAGTTGCAAATCATCAAAATTTTATTGAAAATCGTTAAATTTTTGTTATAAATAATTAGATTTGAATTATTCATTTACCTGTAAAATTACAAGAATTCACAACTTAATTCAGCTATTTAAAAAAAATCAGCAATTTGCAACACAAATTCGATGATTTGCAACTCAAATAAAGTAAGAGTATTTTTGTTTTCTAACATGGAAAATTTGAATCTCAGAGTTTAGTAAAATTTAAGAATTTTTTAGAGTTAACTAATGTTAATTGGCTAGTAAAAGGGTTTGTTGAAATTTTCCATAAATTATTAGGAGAATCACACCAAGGTCCTAAAGAAAGAAAATAACTACAAAAAAATCTTAATGACAAGATACCAGTTATTATTTTCTATTATAGAACCTGTCATTACACGCTTCTCAATTGTCATTGAGATATTCTAGTAATGATGTTTCTTTCTTGAGAATTTATTAAAATTCTCCCTAAATTATTTTTAGAAGTTGCTTTAACTTTTACATTATGATGCTCAAGGTGTATTTGGATTAGTGATGATAAAATTAATTTCTATTCCGTAATTCATAATTAAAAAACTATTTATAAGTTATTCCAAACGGACACTCTACCTTCTTCTTCCCAACTTGTATTTCACATTGTCCAATACGTGTTCACGCATCCAAACGCTATGCCAAACATGTGCTGGTCTGATCCATTTATAAAAATTGGTCCAACTGTCCACTATCTTAGCAATGTCTGACCGATTTTTTAACCTGTTAATTCTTATAAATTGGTTTTAAACACTAAAGACTAATGGCATTAATGGAGTATTCTTTTTAACCATTAAAATTAGAGCACCTAATAAAAAAATGCAGAAACTTAATTCAAAACCATAGAAAATCATAAGGATTCGAAATTAATTTTCTCAAAAAGAAAAATAACAATGAATAACATAGCATATCTTAATAATAACAACCCAAAGCCCTTGAGATAAAAGCAAAAATTCATTAAGAAGACAGTCAAATAACTTAAATTTTTATTTGGATCACTAAATTTGTCAAATCCTTAAACAAGTCACGTGACTCAAAAGAGACTTTAAAATTATATGAAATGATTCTAACACCTTTTTTTTTATTAAAAACCTAGCGAGATGAGGATATACTATCACTCTAGCTTTGCGTGAGAGTTCTGAATGAGAAAAATTTTGCGTTTACCATTGCAAAGTTGGAAAATTGATCAAAGAGGTTAGGATGAGTTAGTTTTAATATCAAATCTTTCTTCTTTAATTCTAATAGTTTCATCATGCTAACTTGGTTCTTCATTTTCTTTAGTATGAATTATAAGCGATAGGGTTTTTTGTTGGAGAGGAAGGAAAAGTTGCAACACAATGAGGAGTATCTCACAAAAATAGGCAAGTGAGAGTGTCGAGTGTTGCTTTTAGGGTGACCTGAGAGGTCGATGTATATGTGTGATGCAGGGTTTTATGATAAATGTGTATATTGGACAACTGATTGCATTTGTTTGGTCATGAAGGCTCAGTATGAAGAATGCTACTATGAGGGTTACGTGTGTTGTTAATGGCTAAGTAGAACGTGGAACGTGTTAAAACATAATTTGAAGTTGTTAAAATTTGAAAGTGAATTTTGTTATGCTAATTGTAAGAAGTGTGATTATAACTATGAGAGTCATGTTTTTTGTTGATAGCTAAGTGGAATATGTTAAAACCTAATTTGAAATTGTAAATTTTGTCATATAGATTATAAAGAGTGATAATAATCACAGTCATGAGGGGCGCATTTGCTATTAATAGCTAAGTAAAACATGTTAAAACCTGATTTGAAATTGTTAATTTTGAAAGTTAGATTCTATTTCGTTGAGTGAAAAATTCTGACATTGATCATGGCCAGGAACAAACTTTATGATAAGTGATGACTTGTTTAGCATGTTAGAATAAGAAATGATATCTACCTTAGGACCAACAACAACAAGCGAATTTTTTTTCCATGTTGGTGGATAATTTGTCAAGAATTTTAATGGTTAAAGTCAATATAATGGAAAGAGTGCAAGGATAAAAAAATCATAAGAGAGGGAATGACATTTGAAGAGATAAGAGTAATAATATCTTCATGGATTGGAAATGAGAGCTGTTAATTCAGAATTGAAACTTGTTAACTATGTAATTAAACTTGTTAATTTTTAAATTTGTGTTATGATCAAGTTTTATTCAAACACTTAATATAATTATGTTTTGAAGATAAAAAATTATCAATTTAGAATTGACACATGTTAAATGTGAAATATAACATATTAATTTTTAAAGTTGTATTGTGATTAAACTTTATTCAAATACTTAATATAAGTGTGTTATACAGACAAAAAATTGTGAATTTAGGATTGAAATGTGTTAACTATGAATAGAACAGATTAATTTTCAAGATTGTATTATGATTGAGTTTTATTTAAAGCCTCATTTAAAGTGTATTTTAAAGATATAAAGTTATTAATCTAGAACTGAAACTGGTTAACTGTGCAATTGAACTAACTAATTTTTAAAATGATATTGTAATCAAATTCTGTTGAAAGATTTACTGCAAGTGTGGTAGGGAGACAAAAAATTGTTAATTTAAAATATCTTTTTAAATCATGTGACTTAAGTAGGAGTTTGATAAATTTAATAACCCAAATAAAAATATGAGTTGTTTAAATGTCTTTTTAAGAGTTTTTTCTAAGATAAAAAGTTCACTAAAAGATTAAACGCCTGCCAGTTTTTCAAAAACTAAGGGTGTGTTTGGCTTAATAGAAGAGATAGAAGGAAAGATATTTTAATAGAGAGAAAAAAGATGAAAGGAAAGAGAGAGATTTTAATATTATGTTGTTTGAATTAATATGAGAGGAGGGAAGAGGAGGAATTTTAATGTTACTTTATTTGGTTTAGAAAGGGAGGGAAGGTAAAATATCTTTGTATGGACAACTTTGCTTTTATATTATTTAAGTTGATTTTTACAAACTTTATAGGGTAATTAATAAAATATAATTATAAATAATATTTAATATATGAGATCAACTTTTTATAATTAACAAAATTAAATAAATATAATGATAATACATAATTAATAGCTACTATATATCCAATAACTATAATTGTATATCCAAAATATGGTTTAATGAAGTAAATATATTTAATTTGAGTATTTTTTTTTAGTTTTCATTTTTCTCTGTGCTGTTGATATGAATAGTCAAATAACGATATAAATGACTTATTTGTATGTTTTTGTTTTGAATGCTTGATTTGCGCTTGGAAATTAAATTAAGATATATTTGATAGCAACTTTTTTAATATTTGATAGCATATAAATGAGAGAAAAAAGGCATAATTGAATCGATAAATATACCAAATCACATAAAATTCGACAATGAAGGGTAACATGGGATTATTAAAAAATAATATAGACATATTAATCAGCACAAGCCAAAATATAAATCTTTCCCTCCAAATTCCCCCAATTTTGGAGGGGAGGCTTATGAGGGGAGAGGAGGGAAAATGTTACAAAATTTTTCTTCCCTTCCAAATCCTTCATACCAAATTGATGGTAAAGAAAATTTAGTCCTACTGGTTACTAAATAACAATAATAAAAGTAAATAAATTAGCAAATAAAAAAAATCAATCATAAAATATAATGAGCCAAATAAGTCATAAATAGTTGGCAAAAAATATGTCATAAGTATATACTACAAAATAAAGAAATATATAGTAATGAAAAAATAACATTGAAACTAGAGCAGGGCACAGTTAGAAAACATAAGTAATTAAGTAAACAAGTAAAATATCTAATAAGGAGTTAGAGTAAGGAAGTTATATATGGAACAAGTCAAATAACACCGACAAGTATACTGGCAATAAAAACAGGGGGGGAAAAAGATGCTGTTGCACTACATTATATCATATTTTTTTCGGGTATTATATTCACATAAGTGAGAAAATTGGCTTTAGTAAAGAAGGGAGTTTGATGAAGCAAACATTCTTGGTTATCCTTGGGGGAAGTCTTGCTCTCCTTCGAGTCCTCTTCTCCATCTAACAAGTGAAGGTTCTGGTTCTCCCCTCCTTCTGTCCAAGTTCAATTCGTCTCCTTGCACTTAAATCTTTTTTAATACCCAGATTTATATCCTTTTCTCTTTCTAACTTGGAAAATTTTCGTTGAAAATTAGTTCTTTTTATTGTTAGCCTCTTCATTTCTTGATTATTGAGTAAGAAACAGTGAAGAAATTGTAGAAGCAGTAGACCATTCCTTCGGGTTACGATATGGCGGCCGCAGAACCCCAGAGGACTCCTCAAGAAGTTGAGGATATAATTCTCAGGAAAATTTTTCTCGTTTCCCTCACTGATGCCACGGGAAAGGATCCTAGAGTCGTTTACTTGGAATTGATAGCAGCTGAGATTCTCAGCGAGGGCAACGAATTGAGGCTTTCACGGGACTTGATGGAACGGGTTCTGATTGATCGGCTTTTTGGAAGTTTCTCTTCTGCTGAATCGCCTTTTCAGTACTTAATCAGTTGCTCTCAACGAGCACACGATGAGGGTAAAAAAATTGCAAACATGAAAGATAAAAGTTTAAGGGGTGAGATGGAATCCGTGGTGAAACAAGCAAAGAAGCTGTGTGTAGCATATTGTAGAATTCATTTGGCGAATCCTGACATGTTTCAAATTGGAAATTCTAGTGCGAGTAAACATCAGAACTCGCCATTGTTACCACTCATTCTCTCTGAGGTCGGTGGCACCATCAGTGGCTTTGGTGGGAGTGGCAATGCTGGCGGAGTTAAAAGCCCGCCTGGGTTTCTGGAGGAATTTTTCAGGGACTCAGACTCTGATAGTTTGGATCCAATATTGAAAGGGTTGTATGAGGAGTTGAGGGGTAGTGTGATGAAAGTTTCATCTCTTGGGAATTTCCAAGACTCTTTGAGGGCATTGCTGTACCTGGTTAGATTTCCCATTGGTGCAAAGTCTCTTGTAAGCCACGATTGGTGGATTCCTAAAGGAGTTTACATGAATGGATGCGCAATTGAAATGACAAGTATTTTAGACCCTTTCTTTCATGTTAGTGCTCTTCCTGATCACGCCTTTTTCAAGAGTCAGCCAGACGTTGGGTGAGTGAACTTTTGGCTTCTATGGTTTAAAGCAAATTTTTTGGGAACTTGGCGGATTATACTACCTAGTTATGAATCATGAGAAGAAGATTACTACTACTGTCTCTAAGAATAATGATGTTGAATTGCTGCATTATTGACTCCCCACCCTAGTCTTTCATATATGAAGTTTTTTGTATCCAAGTTTATTTAACAAATGTTAGCACAGAAAGCCTAATACCTAATTGGGCCTTTTGGGCCGACAAAACTCTAGACCTAATTTAGTTTATGTTGCTACCGCTAGAAGTAATTAATAATATCTGTTTATGTATTTTTTGAATTCTTATTTTATTCTCCTAATTCTCCTAGGATCTCAGAATATATCTCTTATCCTTGAGAGATACTCTTAGCCCTATTTATTCTTTGTACTCGTACATTTTTCAGTCAAGTGAATAAGATTATTCAGCCTACATGGTATCAAAGCTATGATTAAATTTGGCCACGGTTTAAGTCCCAATGACCAAGGCTATGATAACCCTTCGACCAACCCTTCAGGGTTTGCAGCAACGGCTGCAAACCCTAGCCCTTTACCCTCATCTGATGCTAGTCTAGTATCTATAACCATCTATCGACTGAACGATCAGAATTACCTATGATGGGCTTCCAGTGTCAGACTGTACGTGATGGGAAAAGGAAAATTCGGTTACTTGTCTGCTACTCTAAAGGCACCAGAACCAACAGACTCCAAATTCGCCACACGGGAGGCCGAGAATTCTATGGTCCAAGCATGGTTGATTAACTCTATGACAACTGAGATAAGCTGCCATTTTTCCTTCATTCATACAACCCACGAAGTCTAGGAAGTAGCCAAGGATAGGTTCACATCAGTGAAGAATAAATTTGCAATCTTGGAGATTGAGAGCTTTCTTCATGACTTTAAACGGGTAACCTTTCAGTCACTCAATGTTATACTAATTTGTTTGTTAAATGGCAACAGCTTGACATGTATGATATTCATGAGTGGAATTGTTCTAGAGATATCAAGGAGGAAAAACAAATTTTCAAATTCCTACTTGGTCTAGATGCAGCCTATGATGATGTACGTGGGAGGATCATGAGTTCGGACAACCTCCCATCTATACGGGAAGTCTTCTCTATGGTCAAAAGTGAGGAGACTCGGAGAAAGCTAATTTCTGGTGATTCCTCAAAGGCAGTTGAGCATCAACCCCACGGTCTGCTCCCAAAAGATACATCAAGAGAGGAGGAAAAACCGAGGCAAGGGAAATGGTGCAACCACTGCCGCAAGAAGGGACATATAAGGGAAGTGTGCTGGAAACTGCATGGCAAACTAGCTAAAAAGGGGAAGCAAGATAACAGAGGATATTCTGGAAGTATTAAAGGAAACACTGAAAAGGAATCAAATTAATCAAAGAGGAAGTAGAACTGCTTAAACGAATCTTGGAAATGTAAGGAATTGAAAGACACGCAGCAAAAAAAATAACTTTAAAATTTTCCAATCCCTTGCCCAGATCTATCGATTGTGTTTAAGTCAAGTAGTAAGAGGTGTTACCTGCAGTATTCGAATCGTTGGTGGCTCGAGGATTCCGACGTTCAGGATGCTTATGCCCTTTTTTCGATCGTGAGAAGTCGACAACTCAGATCGGCTTCCTTTACCAGTATCCACACGAACAGCGTTCCAATCACGAACGACGTGCTAGCGCCTCTTGTCCTTCCAGGGTTTTAGAATCCGTCCTCACCGTCTCTCTTTTGGCCGTTTCTTATCTGCAAACCTTTTGCACTCTCTACTTCAAACTCTAGCTCCTAATATCAAATATATAGGATGCTATGGGTATTATGAAGGATATTGGAAGATTAATTTCGAAATCAATACAATATCATATATTGCGTAATCTGATAAGAAATTAGTTAAATAAATATCCGTCCCTACAGATTTAATTAACCTATTTATTTAATTCAAAATAAAGATATGACGGAATTATATTTGATTTATCCTAATAAATCAAATTTGAGATATTATAAGATATCATATCAATCTAAATTTCAAATTTAAAAGTGATAGAGATTTAATTTATCCTTATAAATCAAATCTTATAAATATCTCTTATATCATATTATATATATATATATACACGTCCACCCTAGATTATTCATTGAATCTGAACATATCTTAGATTCAATGAATCTAGATATCATAACTCGTGTTTGGCTATTTTGTGTGCGACCCTGTAGGCCCATATGAAGTTGGCAGTGGGCCATTTACTATAATGACTCACAAGTCGTAAGCGGTCTCTAGCAAGACATCACGACTACCCAAATCATATGAGGATCGATGAACAATGTAACCTTTCATACAACCATATCACGTCCCTTTTGTCACACGACATTTTGGTCATGGATGAGGCATGGAGAACGTCATCCTCCTATTCCTGACCGTTACTTTCTCGATCCCTGAGTAGTCTGAGTATAGAAATGGAACTACCTTTTCATTATAGTATAGCCATATATTTCTCAAACTCACTAATATCTCTCTATGAATGTGAGGGACAAATTCCATCTTAACCATTCACATTCCTCCATATGAAAAACCACTAAGCCTGAACATAGTCTTTATGATCACTCGGTCAAAAGTGACTTTTGACTAGATCAAAGCTGAGCGTTTCTCATGTAGGAATCCATGATGATCTCAAGTCAAAAGGCATAGTGACATGGTTTGTATATGAGAGAAGCTTATGACTTAACCCATGCAGCTCTCTCATAGCGGGTCGGTCCGACACCTTGTACTCTTACATGTGCCTATGACTTTGATTTATATCTTTATACATCTTCAAAGTCATACTGGTCTTATTTTATCTCTGTTCCCACATAGATGACCGACCAGGGACATTTAGGATAAAATCATGAGTTATCCAAGGATAGTCATCACAGTAAACATGCAAATAATATGATAACATAATTAAGAAATTCATAAATCAACAATGTTCATAACACAATGATTGGCCCCTAGGGCACAATTTCCAACAGGAAAGGCATCAACTAAAAGAAAAATCAGTATCCTTAGGATACATTGCCCACACAGGTAAAACAATTCTTGCTCTAAAAACTTATGTGCATCGTCAAGATTTATGGATTGTTGATTCAGGAGCTACATATCACATGACCGATAATCCTGATTTATTGACTAATATTAGACCGTGTACACTTAATATTTCTATCCAAGTTGCTTATTGGAAGTCTGTAAAGGTTATGGGATTTGGGACTACTTGGATAAATGATAAACTAGTTTTATATGATGTGTTTTGTGCTCCAAAATTGAAATGTAGCTTGCTCTCTGTCAGAACTATCACTAATACTTAGAGTTGTAATGTCTATTTTTCTGCCACTACTTGTGTATTTCAGGATCTGGAGTTGAGGGAGACGATTGGCATAGCTAAGATCCTAGAAGGGCTCTATTGCTTGGAAATCGACAGTTCAAAGACTCAAAGTTACCTTGCTATGAGGACTTCATCTATTTTTTCCGGTTCTTCAAATAAAGATCTGTTGTTATGGCACTATAGGTTAGGCCACCCAAATTTCCATTACATGTTGAAACTCTTTCCTGAATTCAATAAAGAAACTTTATCTTGTGAAATTTGCCAAATAGAAAAACATACCAGATCCTCTTACAAATCCCTACCTCATAATTGTCTGAACCTTTCAATCTCATACATAGTGATATTTAGGGACCTACACAAGTTAATTCATTAACAAATGCAAAATGGTTTGTAACCTTTATTGATGATTACCCGCGGGTAACGTGGGTATACCTCATGAAAACAAATCTAATCTTGTACCTACCTTTATCAAATTTCACAAAATGATCACTACTCAATTCCAAACAAAAATTCAAACACTTAGAAGTGACAATGGGAGGGAATACCTAGCTAATACTCTACAAACCTATCTCTAAGAAAATGGCATCATTCACCAAACAAGTTGTGTCAACACCCCACAACAGAATGGGACAGCTGAAAGGAAAAATAGACATATGCTTGAGATTACCCATGCCCTATATTCACTAATAATGTTCCAAACTGGTATTGGGGTGAGGCAGTCCTCACTGCTACACATCTTATCAACAGAATGCCTTAAAAAATACTCAATTTTCAAACCCTCATGAGTGTCTTAACCAAGACCAAACACCACCACTACTACCCAAATTCCCTAAAAAATTTTGGTTGCATAGCCTATGTTCACCTTTCACCAGGAAACAAATTTGATCCCAGAGCTGCCAAATGCATTTTTCTTGGGTATTCTACCTCAAGGGTTATAAATGTTACTCACCTACCTTGCATAAATTCTTTATGACTATGGATGTCACTTTCGAAGAAAATCAAGCCTATTACCCCAAAACACCCGTTCAGAGGGAGAGTGATAGGGAATGGGAGCTTCTTTATAAACTTGAATCAGTTTCAGAACCAATTAATATCCTACCTGAACTTGAACCAGACCAACATAGACCAAAAACATTACCGAACCTGAACCCACTGAACCCAAGACACCTGCTGCTGACACTACCAGGCCAGACACAAACCTAGACAGACCTGAACCTTTACCCGAACCAAGTGCCAATGATCAAGGATTGATTTAAGTACATGAAGAGACTAGTGCATCAGAAAATAAGGAAATAGAAGAACATGAAACAGCCTTAAGTCGAAGTGATAGAAACCCCTCTAGCTCAAGGCAACACCAAGAACCAAACTCAAATCCAGGTCCTAATGATCTTGGATGGCCAATTGCTCTAAGAAAAGGGGTAAGGCAATATACTCGTCATCCTATAGGCAACTTTGTTTCTTATGATAAACTATCATCTTGTATGAGAGTTTTCGTCACCAAGCTAAATGAGGAACAGATCCCCTTCAACATTTAAGGAAGTTGTCCTGGATTTTAGGTGGCGAGCAATGAAGAATTAAATGCTTTAAAAAAAACTAGACATGGACAATTGAAAAACTACCTCCACAGAAGATAACAGTTGGATGTAAGTGGGTATTTACCATCAAATACAATGCTGATGGAACAATAAACAAATTCAAAGCCCGTTTAGTGGCCAAAGGATACTCACAGACACAGGGAATAGATTATCAAAAAACTTTTGCCCTCGTAGCCAATGGCAGCAAATCTTGAATGGGGATCTTGAAGAAGAAGTTTACATGAAAATTCCTGAAAGAATAACAGAACATGGTGATTCGAAGCATGGCATGTAAGCTGCGTAAATCACTATATGGACTAAAACAATCTCCTAGGGCCTGGTTTGAGCGATTTACCAAAGTGGTGAAAAGTTCTGGGCACACTCAATGTCAAGCAGACCATACTCTCTTTGTAAAACACTATGGGACCAAGATTTGCATTCTCGTAGTGTACGTTGACGATATAGTTTTAACAGGGGATGATAAAGATGAAATAAGGCAACTTAAGAGCACTCTTGCAAATGCATTTGAGGTAAAGGACCTAGGCAGTCTTCGATATTTTTTGGGAATGGAAGTGGCTCGATCTAAAGCTGGGATCCCTGTATCTTAGCGAAAATATATACTTGACCTACTCAAAGAAACAGGCATGCTAAGAGCTAAGCCATCCTCAATTCCTATGGATCCTTCGGTCAACCTAGAATACGAGAAAGAGGGGGTACCTGTTGATGCTAAAAGGTATAGGAGACTGGTTGGAAAACTAATCTATTTATCTCACACTCGACCAAATATTAGTTATGCTGTAGGGGTAGCAAGTCAATTTTCATCATAGCCACAAGAACAACATATGCAAGATGTATACACTATCTTGAGATACCTCAAAATGACACCGAGAAGGGGAATATTCTTTGCTAAAGGAACTTCTCGAGACATTGTTATATATACAGATGCTGATCATGGCAAAGACAAAGAAAATAGAAGGTCTACAGGAGCATACTTTACTTTTGGGTGGGGTAATCTGGTTACATGGAGGAGTAAGAAACAGACCGTAGTCTCACAAAGCAGTGTTGAAGCAAAATTAAGAGCTCTAGCAAATGGGCTGTGTGAAGGAATCTGGCTCACTAGAGTTCTAAGGGAGTTGAAAATAGACTTTAGTCTCCCTTTTAAACTATGGTGTGACAACAAATCAGCTCTACAAATGGTTTATAATCCAGTTCACCATGAAAGGACCAAACATGTGGACATTGATAGGCATTTCATAAAGGAAAAGGTTAAGGCAAACATAATGGACCTAGAATACCTACGATCCAATTTGCAAGTGGCAGATGTTCTTACAAAGCCATTGGATAGAAGCAAGTTTGAATTCTTCAGAAGCAAGCTGGGCATGTATGATATCTACTTGCTAGCTTGAGGGGGATTGTTAGCGTAGAAAGCCTAATACCTAATTGGGCCTTTTGAGCCGACAAAACCCTAGACCTAATTTAGGTTATGTTGCGGCTGCTAGAAGTAATCAATAATATCAGTTTATATATTTTTTGAATTCTGATTTTATTCTCCTAATTCTTAGGCTAGAATCTTTCTAGGATCTCGAAATATATATCTCATCCTTAAGAGATACTCTTAGTCCTATTTATTCTTTGTACTCGTACCTTTTTCAGTCAAGTGAATAAGATTATTCAGCCTACAATAAAATTGCACTTTCATCATGTGATTTTTGCTAATTCTCTAAGTATACCAAGAGCTCCTACCCCTTATGGCCTTATAAACAACCAACTCTTTTTTCATTACTCACAGTGACATCTGGGAAACCTCTAGAACACACACTGTTGACCATCATTGCTAGTTTGCCACTTTCATTGATGATTACACAAGAACTACTTGGATTTATCTTATGAAATAAAAATCCCAAGTGTTTGATTTTCAAAACTTTTCATAAGGTGATTCAAAATCAGTTCAAGGCTGAAATTCAAATTTTTAGAAGTAATAAGGCAAAAGAATACCTAAGCCAGTCTTTTAGTCAATATCTTGAATCTTATAGCATTATTCACCAAACATCTTATGCCCATATATGCCAATAAATTGGGATTGCTGAAAAGAAAACTAGACGCCTCCAAGAAGTCACTAGAGCTATCATGCTTACAAGACATCTTCCAAACTAGTTTTGGAGAGATGCTGTTCTTATTGCTGCTTTTCTTATCAAAAGAATCCCTTCAAAAACTCTCAAATTTAAAACCTTTTTGCAAATGTTATTTGAAGCCTATCCCTCTATGCCCTTATTAAACATTGTTTCTCAAAAGGTTTTGGGGTGTGTTGTTTTTGCCCACAATATGCATGGGAATAAGCTTGATACAAGGGCTCATAAATGTATTTTCTCATTATTCAACCACTGAAAAGGGTTAAAGGTGTTATTCTCCTACTCTCAAATCATATTTTGTGTCAATAGATGTTACCTTCTTCAAAGAACAATCCTACTACCCCAAAAAGTTCATTCAGGGGGAGAATTTCCAGAGTGAACAGACCATTGTGGAAAAGCTTGAGTCAAGGCAGGCAGAAATAAAATATACTTAATCAAGAGATCAGACAACAGATTTACTAACTAAGGGACTACCTAGTTCCAAGTTTGAGGAGTTAAGTCACAAGCCGGGAATGATAAATATCAATTTAGCAGCTTGAGGGGGTTGATAGCGTGATAATCTCCTAATTTCCAGGAATATTATTCTGTCTTTAATGTTATTCCTTTCCTTCATATAGCAGATTTGACGCACCTTGTAATTATTACAGAATCTCTTAATCCTAGGCTAGAATATGGGATATTATAGCTAATTGCATCCAATAGTATAAAGGTGAGCCTCAACCTTTCCTTTCTTTTTGTGTTCTTTTTGTTTTTCTTCTCTCTTCAACCTCTCCTGCAATAATCCATTGGACAAAATGGATTAGTTTCTCAAGAATAAAGATTGGAAAACTAAGATAATATAAAGGTTAGCCTCAGCCTTTTCTTTTGCTTGTGTTCCCTTTTTTCCAAATTATTTCTTCAACCTCTTCTGTAACAATCAATTGTACAAAAATGATTAGTTTCAAAAGAATAAAGGTTAGAAAATAAACAATCTTGATTATAGTTTTTGAGTGAGCTTTAACCTTGTCTTTCTTTTTGTATTCTTTTTCCTCGTGTTCCTTCTTCAAGCTCTCCTACAACAATCCATTGTATAAAATGAATCAATTTTCCCAGAATAAATGTCAGAAAACTAAGACCCATTATAATAGTATAAAGGTGAGCCTTGGCTTTTCCTTCGGTTTGTGTTTCTTTTCTTCATGTTCTTTCTTCAAACTCTCCTGCAACAATTGGTTATGCAAAATGAATCAATTTCCCAATAATAAAGGTTCCAAAAGCTAAGAATAATTAAAATAGTATAAAGGTGAGCCTTGGCCTTTCCTTTTGTACGTGTTCAACATGTTCCTTGTGCAACCTATCCAGCAATAATCCATTGTAAAAAATAATATAAAGGTGAGCCTCAGCCTTTCCTTTCATTTGTATTCTTTTTCTTCATGTTTTTTCTTCAACCTCTCCAACAATAATCAGTTCTACAAAAAGGATTAGTTTCTCAAGAACAAATGTTTGAAAATTAAGAAAAATTACAATAATTTATAGGCGAGCTTAAACCTTTTCTTTCTTTTTGTATTTTTTCCCCGT